CAAAAACCATTTTTTATTTCCAATTTAATATTCAAAAAACAGAAATTTAAAGTGTGATTTGGTTATCACAAATACAACAGAATGCTCTGGAGATAATGGTATCTATAACTTGACTACCATCTCTAGCTAATTTGATGCATAAGATATAGATGGGGCCATAACAAGTAAATAAAAGTTATAAAATTAGGAGGTAGAAAAGAAAAATGAAAAGGTTAAATAACTTTTTTGGTCATTCTATTATTGAAAAAAACTTTTTTTGGTCCTCATATTGAAAAATTCCCTTTTTTTATCCCTAAAGTTTGAAATTCGACTCCCTTTTAATCCCTTCGTTAGTTAAATCACAGCATTATACAATAATTTGTTAAATATTTTGTTTTTTTTTAATGGTGATGTGTGATTACATGTTGCAAAATTGATGAGTTGGTAATAAAATTTATTTTCCATGTAATCAATAAGTTCTAAAATAATTAAAAGAAAAAAATCATCAATTCCCTTTGTCTTTTCATTTCCCATTTTTTGTCCTCATCTTCTTCTTAAGCCCAAATCCCTAATCCTCTCTACCTTTGCTTGAACCTAATCCCTCTCATCCATTGATTTCTTCTTTGCCAACCCTTCCTCCATCAAAGCCGTCAAATCTTCACACCAATCTTCATCTCCATTAAAGCTTAAATCTTCACTAATTTGCCCCCATTTTCTTCCCCCTTCTGTCTTATCCTCTCCTTCCTCCAACCTTCATCTTCTTTTTTTTTTTTTGTTTACCTTTGCCTTCTAGAAATCAAATTTGGAAGGGCGAACCTAGGTGCTTGGGTTCACTGGGTTCATCACAAACGCAGGCACCGTGTTCCTCATGAACCCAGGCTCGCGCATTGCTATGTTGTTGTGTTTCCTCACAATTTTTCTTCTATTCTTTTTTGCTTCACCATTTTTGGCTCGGGTATTGGATCTAGGATTTTCTATGTGTTGATTTTGGATTTCATGGTTAAACAGTCATTGAAATTGGTAGAAGGGAGGCAATATTACTCAAGATTATGGGAAGAAATTTCATCTGAAATTGAAATGTGTCCAGGAATGAGGAGAAAGGAATTGTTGTGAAAAATTAATTTTGGAGAGGATGAAAAGAATAAAAATTTGTGTTGAAAATTGTTAAATTTTTATCTAATTTATGTTTGAAAACTAAAAAAAAAAAATTAAATTAAAACTATTAAGTTTGATTAAAAGAAATAAATAATTAAATATTACATATTAAATGAATCTACTAAAAGTATTACAACAATATAATATTTTATTTAATTTATGTTTAAATAGTAAAAAAATAAATACTACATATTAAATGATTTTAGTAAAATTATTATGATAATTTAATATTTTTTCCTATTCACATTATCATTTTTATCAACACTATATTTCCAAGTATTTTTGTGCAGAATAAAAATAATTTTTTAGTCCACATCATCTATTTTTTCCCACATGGCATTTTCATGTCTTTTTTTGGACTCCATTGATTAACGTGTAATTACACGTCAACATTGAAAAGAAAAAGACAAAATATTTAACGAATTATAATACCATGTTGTGACCTAACTGACGGAGAGAGAAAAAGAGATCAAATTTCAAACTTTAGGGATAAAAAAAGTGATTTTTTTAGTACAGAGACCGAAAAGGGGTTTTTTCAATAGCAGAGCGACCAAAAAAGATATTTAATCAAATGAAAAAGGCCATTACCACAAAAGCTCCCCATTTCTCTCATATACTTCTTTAGGATTATTAAAAAGTGAGATCTCATTCTTAATGTTTGAATCAAGGTTATCAAAATCGAAATTTTACATAAAAT